AAATACTCAATATATATTATCTTATTTTTTCATGTGCGCACCTTTGTCAAAAGGGGTACGTTTCCTTTAATGTGACTCTTGAAATAATCAGGGGTGTAGTGGTGGCAGGGGTTACCGGAACACCGCTACGGCAGCTGTAGCCGGAACTGAGTCCTGACACTTCAAACTCTTAAAAATATGTATCTACAGAAATATATAAGCCATTTATCTTATACCTAAATTTAAGTGTCTTTCACAACCAAATTCTCAGAGTGTCAGAGAACATTCTGGCTGTTTGTGCCCCCCCCCCCCCCGTCGTCTACTGGTATAGCTTTTTAAGACCGTAAAGCACACACAATACACTGTAATGTCACTTTTCCTCAGGAGCTGGCGATACGCACTGTACGACAGCTTCTTCTCAAGAGCAGGTGTCAGAGCGTTAAAATGGTGCATTTTTTAAATACTTATTAACACACATGAATATGTTATTAAAACACTTAATTTAAAATACATTTTTACAATTATACTGTGTGTTTAAAGCGCACACGTTTTTAAAAGGCATGTTATTTACTTAATATACAAAAATGTAGCATTTATTTTAGTTATTCATGTTAATATGATAGGAGGTGTGCAAAGCGTTATCAAACTCAAAGCTGTTAATTTTGTAGTGTGGTTAGAAATATTGTAAATTAATAAGGTATGCGTTTTTAAAACTTGTTTTGATATTAGTGATTTTTATATGATACCCAGTAGTTTTTATAAATTTAGAAAAATCTGAAATGCATGTTTTCTTTCGGTAATATAGTCCTCCAGTAGGACACTGATAAGTCTAAAATACAGGGTTCAATCCCTCTTAGTGTAAACAGCAGATAGCTCAGTGTGGCTTTGTTCTAGAAACAAAAAAACGTGATAATATATGCGTATTCAATTTAGAACTAAATTAACTGATGATGTCCTACATCTAACAGTTATCTTAATAATAGTGTAAATTCAGCAATTCCAGTTTTTGCCGTAAATTTAGCAACTCCAATTATTACAAATCCAAAGACAGTACAGTACGTTAAATTTATCAGTTCCAAGTAATATGGTAAATTCAATCTTTCTAACTAGTACGATAAGTATGTCAGCACCAATTAATACAGCATACAACATGCTCGTGGTGGGCAGAGCACAGATAGCCTATTGTGAAGCTTTGTGCTTATCTTCAAACAATCAAACAAACAATAAAAAAAAGATATAATACGTTACATTTATCAGATCCAACAAATACGGTAAATTCATATGTTTCAACTAAATCGGTGAATTTATCAGCTTCGACTAATATGGCAAATTTAACCTTTCTAACTAGTACGATGCTAGCATATTTAACCAACTAATACAGCAGGTTCAGTATATCCAAAGATATATATATATATATACAATACCTTAACTTTAGCAGATCCAACTAAGACGGTAAATTAATTCGAGAAATTTATTAGTTCTCACTAATTCGGTAAATTTGTATGTTACAATTAATTCGGTAAATTTGTATGTTACAATTAATTCGGTAAATTTAGCAGTTTCGAATAATATGGTAAATTTAACCTTTTAAACTAATACGATATATTTGCCAGTACCAATTAATACGGTATGTTTATTCGGCCCAATTAATAGGGTACATTTTGCAGTTTCAAATAATATGGTAAATTTAGTAAACCTAAGAAGTATGGTAAACATAGCAATTTGAAATAATGAATTCAGTTTATTAATCCCATGCGGCTACTCTTAGAGTAGAAGTGCCCAGTAGTACGTTCGTCTCACATATTTAGTAGTTAGAACTCATAAGGGTGCTTTCTAGTACTGTTAATCTGTTAAATTTATTTGACATTCCATTTGAAGTCTAATCACAAATTTCCAAATACATGTAATATCGGTGCTATAAAAAACAACAACAAAAAACACGTGACAAACTTTAAGCCTATCTGCATTACTTTTATTTACAAAGTTATGCTGTAGATTATATACTTTGGAAGTCATTGGAAGACAAGATGCTTGGGGAATGTTTGTTTGTTTGTTTTGAATTTCGCGCAAAGCTACACGAGGGCTATCTGCGCTAGCCGTCCCTAATTTAGCAGTGTAAGACTAGAGGGAAGGCAGCTAGTCATCACCACCCACCGCCAACTCTTGGGCTACTCTTTTACCAACGGATAGTGGGATTGACCGTCACATTATAACG